CCGCCCGACCCGCCCGATAGGGTCCGCCCGTCCCGTCCCGCCCGTTAGGGTTCTCATGTGTCACGCTGTATGCGCATCAGACTTTAGTGTCCCGCCCGCCCGACCCGACCCGCCTGTTAGGGTCCGCCCGCCCGACCCGCCCGATAGGGTCCGCCCGTCCCGCCCGGGCCGTTAGGGTTCTCATGCGTCATGCCGTATATGTATCAGACTTTAGTGTCCCGCCCGCCTGTCCCCAGCCGCCCGTTAGGGTCCGCCCGCCCGACCCGCCTGCTAGGGTCTGCCCCGTCCCGCCCCGCCCGTGAGAGTTCTCGTCCTCCTCTTCGTCCTCGTTCTGTGCCTCCTTCTCCTCTGCCTCCTCCTCCTGCGTCCCCCCTCTTGCTCCTCCTCCTTCTCTTCCTTCTCGTCCTCTTTGTCGTCGTCCCTCTCCTAATACACCGCCTCATCTTTAGTACTTCGCATCGGCCTCCAGCGTTCAGTCCCCCGCGTTCCTCCTCCTCCTCCTCCTCCTCCTCCTCCTCCTCCTCCTCCCCCCTCCCGTCATCGTCAGCACTTTCACCGCATGCCCGACCATATCTCCTCACACCCCTCACACGGGTCGTGGCCCCATATGCAGCTCCACCGAAGGCTCCAGTGGCTGCGTCCGCATGGCACCTCCGTCCGCCCGGCCCGAGCGCGCAGGCGAAAGTAAAACGCCACAGGCCAAAAACCCAGGTCACGATTCCTTCTTTGGGCCCCAGAACGCCACAGGCAAAAACCCAGGTCACGATTCCTTCTTTGGGCTTCAGGAGCGCCACTGACGCGGAGGAGAGCAGGGGAGCACTTCCTCTACACGCGCGCGCTCTCGGCAAGACCCGGAGGCCCGACGCGCAAGGCAAAAAAAAAAACGCCACAGGCAAAAACCCAGGTCGCGGTTCCTTCTTTGGGCCCCAGGAGCGCCACAGGCAAAAACCCTGGTCGCGATTCCTTTTGTGAGCCAGGCCGAGGGAAGCGGAGGAGCACCCCCCCGCCCGGCGCGCGCGCCCCGGCCAGTGCCCCGGGGACCCGACGCGCAAGGCAAAAAAAAAACGCCACAGGCAAAAAACATCTTTTTTACCTGTAAAGTTTTTGTTGTTTGCCTTGCGCGTTGCAGCCGTCAGTCGCCCTCGTCCAAAACCTAGAGCTTTTCTTGTTCAGGGAACCATTGTGTACATCAGCTGTCAGTCACGCCCCGAGCTTCCAACATCTCGTTCTGCAACCGTTCTGGGGGCGGCGGTGACTCGCCGTAGGCGTCTTCGATTGAAAATTCGTCAAGCGTGGAGAAGGAAGGAGGGACTTGGATTGGATTGGATTGGATTGGCTCCGTCGAATAGCGATCAACAAAAAAACAAATTCCTCTGAGCCAGGCGCGGCCGCCATACACGAAAGGGGGCAGTAGTGCATGACACCTATGGTTTGGAAAACCACGTCCGAACAGGTATCGCATAAGGAAACGCAGCGAAACCACCACTGTTCGTAAAAAGGCTTTTTTGACCCAAAGGCGGGTCGGGCGGGCGGGCCCCAGTCAAGAATCCAGAAGCAGCGCAACGGTCCAGGATGATTTCAAGACGGCCTCTTGAGTGCTCCAGGGACCCCAAACATCAGGATTTGGGAAATGGGCCTGCTGCAGAACAAGTGTAATAGATGCGCCCACAACCCAAAAGCCCAGCGACTCCGAAAAGCTAGATTTGGGAAATACGCTTGCTGCCGCAAAACATGTACTAGATGAGGCCCCATGCAAAGGGCCCAGAGTTGAGCATGGCAGAGGGCCCAAGCAAAGGCCCAAGCAAAAGGCCCCAGGCAAAGGGCCCAACCAATAAAACACACAAGCAATAAAACCCACAAGCAATTACACGCAGCAAAGCAAGCAGTCATCAGTAGCCATTTAGGCTCAAACGATTTGGGCTCCATCCTTTTGCAGGATGAGCGCCCCAAGCAACATCGCGCCCTTTTCTGGCAATGCTCGCCGTCTCGGTGGCGACGGCTCTTTCATCCCAGGCCCCCGTCAGCAAGAGCCTTCTCCCAGTGTCGTTGTGAACCCCATGGATAGCGATGAGTCATCTCCGTCCATGGCTCTCCGGAACGTCAACCTGCAGACGATGGTGATGGGTCCGCCCTCGTGGATGTGACTATGACGGTCATGGTTGATGCGATCGAGCGGATCGACGGCTGTTCTACCGCGTTGCAGTCGTGCGTGCCTCACATCGAGAACAACAGCTACACGAAGGACTTCCTCGAGGACGTGGAGAAGACTGTCGATCATCAGGCCAGCTACGCGTCCCACTTCCAGAATGTCTTGGACCAGGCTCGTCGCGTGCGCGTCGAGCGTAACACCCTCGAGAGCGTCGCTCAGACAGCGCAGGAGTACGCCGCGTCGGCAGAGAAGAAGTTCCAAGTCATGAAAGAGCATGCCATGAGGATCATGAGCGTGGGCGACTACTTCAGCCCTCAGGCCAAACGTGGCGCGGAGGATCCAGAGTACACCAGCGAGTCCGAGTTAGACGAGGCCAAGCTCTTCAGCAAGCCGCCAGGGCGCCGCAGGAGGACGACGAAGTCTTCTGAGGGCGCAGCTGGCAGCATGCAGCTACGTTAGGCTGTGCACGAGCGCGCACTGTGATCTCCTGTCGCATGGGTCAACCGTCGAGGGAGATCGTCAAGCATCACCGCCCCAAAAGAGCGAATGAGTGATTACCTTTGGATCGCGGCGGCCAGGTTGATCCCTTGAAACATTTGCGGCACGCGAGGTGCGATCGTTGAACCCCCGCAGGTCCCTCGAATAACGAATGATGCATTATTCGTTCTTGCATTATTCGACTCAGCATTCGTCGAGGATTTCGTTGATATATACCTATATATATATATATATATATGAAAACCGTGCGAATAATAGAACGAATAATGCAAAAACGAATAATGCATTATTCGTTATTCGAGGGCCTGGGCCCGGCGCGTTGGAGCCTGGGGCCGGCCACCTGGACCTTGGGGCCGGCAATTGGGCCCGAAGCGACCTTGTCGTGATCGTTGTTGGCGTCCTAGCAGTTTGCACTCAAATTGGATCGGCTGCGACCTTGCCAGCGGACTCGCCTATGCCTTTGAGCTCAGACCATGCCGCCAGCTCCCCCCGAGATGCAGTTGACTGAGCTCAACCCTCCGGACGAGGAGCTCCGCGTTGCTCGCGAGAACCTCGCCAATATGAAGACCGACGAGACCTTGAGCAAAAAGGCGTCCATGCGCCAGTACTTGAAGGCGAATCCTGACAACGTGACCAAAGGCGACGTGACATCCTCCCTCGAGAATTTTCTGATTCTGCAGGCTCGCTCCCAGGCCAATTACAAGAAGTGCCAGACCGAGCGCGTCGAGTCGACGACGTCGCGCAGGCACCGCGAGCTGCATTGGTGGGCGGGGGAGGAGATGGACAAGAACATCGGCCCGATTAAGGCCAAGTCACGGCGAGAGTCGGGGCCCCTACCCTCGCGCCCTGACAGCGTGACAGGGAAGAACGAGGACCCCTGCAAAGAGTGCGGCATCCCGATGGACTGGGAGCAGATCACGTGGGCGGACATGAAGAAGCTGCTCACCGAATACGAAGTCGACGCCGACAAGGATACCGTGGATGCCCCGAATGAATTTCGAGCGGGCTCAGGGTATTCGAACGACTTCGCGCCTGAGAAGAGCGAGACTGAGGTGATGGCAGAGAAGATCGAGACGGTGGAGGCGAACTTGCCCGCGGAGATTTCCAAGCTTCAGGCGATGGTTCTGAACGCGAAGCAAGTCAAGGCGAAGGCGGACGCAAGCGGGGGCAAGTACCACGAGGCGCTCATTGCGGACTGCGCGAAGCTGATCAGCCAGGGGGATAAGCTCGCCAAGCTGCTCGATCGCATGGCCCTCGAGCAAACCAACGACAAGGAGATGCCGAAGCTGATTTCGCAGCCCGGGGACGTCCAGAAGAAAAATGAGATCGTGTCTAAGTGGGCCTCTACGCACGGCTTGGCCCTTGATGCGGCTCCAGACAGCGGCTCCAAGAGGCGTCGGAGAGGGGGGGCAACTGACCAGTAGAGTAGCACATGTTTTTAGATGCGCGCTGTGTCTCCTGGGGAGCATTGGTCGGCTCGAGACCGATCCGCCACGCAGTGCAGGGTGCACGCCTTAGACGTGCGAACCACGGGGTGGTTTGCCAGGGATCCAGGGTCACGACATCAGCATCGGCATCAGCATCAGCATGATCGTCAGCATCGTCGTCAACATCAGCATCAGCATCACCGTCATCATGAACAAACAAACAAACGAACAATAACTGCTCAGACGTTGAAACAAACAAATATCCCGAACAACAATGCGAACGATCGAAACTGGCTCTTAAACGCAAACCGCCCCATACGACATAAAGCAATGTGTTGGTGTTTCGATCCTCACGGGAAGAGTGCCTCGGTCAGTAACCATTCTAGCTCAAGCCATCGTTTGAAGCATGGGGTTAGAGCACCAATTCTGTTGTGTTCTGCCCACTCTATGTGCATGGCGTTGTTTGTCTGTGAAAAAGGGGCGTTGAAAAACGCCTCGCTCGGGATCCGTCGAGCGACGTCCCCGATGATTATCCCAAGCCAGCCAAACGTCCCAGGGGAGGTGGCATTCGTCAATGGCTCGAGGGGGCCCCTGGAGATTCAGACGGGGAAGGCGATGCCACCGCTGCGGCTTCGACCATTGACCCGTTCACAAATGACCTGAGGCACCGCTGGGCGAAAGGGGAACTCACATCAGCCGCAGTGCAATCGCTGGCCAACAACGCGAGGCTCCAAGGGGCTAGGACTCTCGACCGCTTAAGTCCGCTCGGAACTCGAAGCGCCAACCCTCAGAATCTATCCCGAGATCTCGTTCGTCTTCTTGGGGAGCCTGTTGGGGCGCCACCAATTGACTGGATTGGATTATCACTGGTGGGGGATCGGGGGGGGGGGGGGGGGGGGGAAAGAAGAGAAGAGAAGAAGAAGAAACACGCGCACACACACACACACACACACACACACACACACACACACACACACACACACACACGCACACACACACGTCCTGCCATATGGCCTCACAAATGGTTTCAAACCTTACCTGCGGCCAGACCTGACATTTGGAGATACCGCGTGACTGGATCCGACCAAGCGGCTTCTCGATTTTGGGAGTCGATTCAGGGTTCACAACTTGTGCGCAATCATCCGTTCCTTCCGAGGGATCCGCGGCATGCGATCCTGCCGATTGGTTTTCATGGGGGCGGAGGTGGATTCAACAAGCACGACAGTCTTTACACGTTCAATTGGAACCCATTGCTTTCAATCGACCGCACTGTCCAAACCAGATTTTCCCGGAAAGGGCGTGGGCCCAGGGTTCTCTTTTAGTTTGTAAACTTAATCCCCCGGTGCCAACTTGAAGGAGGCCGGCGAATTGCCGGCGAATTTTTTCCCTGATAAATAACGAGGTTGAAGGAGGCCGGCGAATTGCCGGCGAATTGAAATTTGAGGATGTCTCGAGCGAAACGCTTGTTTTTGAAATCCCGATCGATAAATCACAGGGTGCGGGCCACTTTTTCGTGTGTTGAGGATGTCTCGAGCGAAACGCTTGCTCCGCAGAGTTTGCCGAGGATGTCTCGAGCGAAACGCTTGTTTTGCAGAGCCGACCGCGACGCGGAAAAGCGCCCCGCGCGAAGGAATTTCGATGATGTCCTCGACTAATTTGTTTGTTTTTGTACGATTCCTGGAATTTTGGCAGGATGTTGTCTCGAGCGACCATACCCCAGCACGACCACACCCCAGCACGACCCCACCCCAGCACGACCAGCACGACCACACCCCAGCACGACCCGACCCCAGCACGACCCTACCCCAGCAAGACCACACCCCAGCACGGACCACAACCCAGCACGACCTCACAACAGCACACCACACCCCAGCAAGACCAGCCCAGCCGACACGCCCAGCACGACACGCCCCAGCACGACCACCCCCAGCACGACCACCCCCCCAGCACGACCACCCCCCAGCACGACCACCCCCCAGCACGACCACACCCCAGCACGACCACTCCCCAGCACGACCACACCCCGCACGACCACACCCCAGCACGACCACACCCAGTCGCACCCCCGTGGAATGTTTCGTGGCGTGTCTGGTTGAGTGGTTGCCTGTTCGTGGGGTGTCTCGTGGAATGTTTCACGGGGTGTCTCGTGGAATGTTTCGTGAGGTGTCTCGTGGAATGGTTCGTGAGGTGTCTCGTGGGATGTTTCGCGGGGTGTCTCGTGGGATGTTTCGTGAGATGTCGCCCAGTTGGGTATCGTGAAAACGTGACCATGCTGCACATGTCTTTATCCCTTTCCGGGTTCGTGGGTCCATCATGTTTATTTTCAGCTGTGAAAATATCTGATATGGTTGCCAACACTATGGACGAATTGGCCAAAGCATTCGCCTGGTCATGCAACGCGATGCTTTCGGGCGAAACCCATCATTCAGATTGGAAAGGGAGGCGCGTTTCAGGTGGCGGTGTGCCGCTTGCCTCGGGTACTCGTGGCTGTCTGGTTCAAGTCCGTGGTGATTGGGAGTTCTTTGCGACTTTATTTCGTTTCCCGCGCTGGAATGAAGCTGAATGCGTGTGTCCGTTCTGTCGCGCCTCTTCGGTTCATCCTGATCGGTTTTGGACAGATTTTCGGCGTGCCGCGGGATGGCGGCACACAGTTTTCACGCACGAGACCTATTTGGAGTTTCTCAGGGCTTCGGGCCTCGCGATCCCAGCGCTCTTCATCCCAAGGATCGGGGCCATAGGGCTCAGGCTCGACAATGTTGTGGTCGATATTTTGCACGCGGTTGACCGAAGCATAGGCTCTCACATCATCGGAAATTCTTGACGCTTCGCGTATCCCCACCGAGAGGCCTCCCAGAACCCCCCCAAAGAGCCCCAAGAGAGCTCCAATACCCTCCAAAAGAGACCCAATAGGGCCCCAAGAAGGCCCCAAGAGGACCCCAAGAGCGCCCCAAGAAGGCCCTAAGAGGACCTCAGGAGAGCCCCAAGAAAGAGCTCCACAAGGCCCCGCGATGGGGCCCAAGGGAATCCCAAGAGGGCCCCATGATGCCTCAAGTTTCGGAACGCACGCGGGCTTAAAATACAAATCAGCGCAACATCCATTACGAGTCATCGAAATACCCCTCACCTCTCATCGAAACATCATCGTAACTTGCACCGGTGTCCAGCTTAAACTTCACTGCGGGAAGCTATGTGTGATGCTTGTGTTCTCGAAGGCGGCTGCGCGACTGCATGCATTATGCCGCCCCCGATTCACCGACTCCCCTGCTGATTGTTTCTGGATTGGCTGTCTTGGTCCTTATGGCTAAAGAAGGGGGGGAGGGGGGGGGGGGGGCAAAATTCTTGCACCCCCGCCCCCCCTCGGAGGCTCAAACATGCCGTCTTGTGACCCTCTTGGCCCGCTCTTGGAGCGCTCTTGGGCGCTCTTGGGGCCGTCTCGGGGCTCTCTTGGGCCGCTCTTGGGGCTGTCTTGGGCCATCGTGGGACCATCCTGAGGCCTCGAGAGCCCGTCGGATGCGAAACAGCGAGGAGGCAAAACAACATGAATGTCCCTTCGGTGTTTGAAGGATGTTGGCCTCTTTGGGGAGGGGGGGGGGGGGGGTCCTTGGACGCCTCTGAGGGCTCTTGAAACCGTCTGGGGGCCGTCTTGAGGCCCCTTGGGCGCGTGTCGGAGGCTATCTTGACCCGTCTACCGCTATTTTGGGCCATCTTGGAGGCCATCTGGCGCTCTCGGAGGCCCTCTACGAGCCATCTGGGGCCATCTTGGACGCTGCTATGGGTCCGCCCCCCCCCCCCCGTCCAAACGCAGGGAGGGGGGGGAGGTGAACCTCCCGAAAAGGGAAACGCCCTAGACCACCTGCGCCCAGAGGGCTGGTGGGATTTGATATGGTATTTTGCTGTGATGAAGGCTTGATTCGGAGGCGGAACGTACGCTGAGCGAATAAAAAATGCGGTGTCGATTTGAAGCAGTGGCACCAACACAATAGATGCACATCTCGCCTGCAAGGTGCTTTAACGCTGGATCGTGTGCGCATTTCTGGGGCATGGCCCAAACTCAAGGCGAAAGCCGCTGGAACTCGACATCTGGCGTCATGCGGAGTGAGCCTTCTCGCCAGGTTTGCGCAATTAGATTCGGCTGATGCGTTCGCAAAGTTGCATGATGAGCTAGCTTCTGGCGTATGCCAGCTCCTTTGCGAATTTTACCAAATCCTTGAAAGCGAACCTATGTTTCTGTCGGAATATGCCCGCGGGCGCTTGCCAGAATTGGCACATGATATTGGAGCGCTGTATGCTCTCCTTTCGAGAATGTGTTTCGATAGGCGCCTGGGGCTGTGGAAATTATCACCCAAGCTTCACTTGTATATGCATTTGTGTTTGCACCAAGCCGTAGAGCTTGGTAACCCGAGGTTCTGGTGGACCTACCCAGACGAAGATTTGGTTCGCATTCTCATTAACGTTGCGGAAGGAGTGCATCCCCAGACATTGGCCACCTCGGTTTTAGCGAAGTGGATGTGGTGTGTGTGTGTGTTTGATGAGCTGGTCGTTGACATCGATTAGCAAAAAAACGTAATCAACAAGGTTTCGCCCGAATCCGCCTGACCCCACCCCCAGACAAGCAAAATCCTGATCCTCATGGGCCAGATTGGGGTCATCTTGAAGCCACCTTGGGGCCACCTTGGGGCCAGATTGGGGTCATCTTGGGGCAAATCTTCGGGACCTCCATGGGGATTGCTGGTGGCTCTTGGGGTCCTGTGATTCAGGGCCTTCTGAAGGGCCTCCTCGGGAGTCGGGGTCCTCTTTGTCTCTTAGGATATTGTCGGTCTTGGGGGCTGGAAATCTTTATAATCACAAGATAAAGAAAATATGTTCACTTACACGGAATATTTATTTTTATGAAGGCAAAACGACGATATACATTCGGAAAACAAAGACATTTGTATTATCTGTCTGCATTTCAAGCGTATCTGTATAAATGTACAGAACCCTTTTTCCCGGAAAGGGCTCCGGCCCAGGGTTCTCTTTTAGTAGGTAAACCTGTCCCCCGGTGCCAACTTGAGGGAGGCCGGCGAATTTTTTCCCTGATAAATAACGAGGTCGAAGGAGGCCGGCGAATTAAAATTTGAGGATGTCTCGAGCGAAACGCTTGTTTTTGAAATCCCGATC